CAGACACCACGGGAAATCAAAACCCGTACTTTTGGTTTCCCAGACGCACAGCTTGACCAACACACTATCAGTACCTCTGGCAAAACATTGTCCTGGACAGCCTACACAGCCTGATCAACACACTATCAGTACCTCTAGGCAAAACATTGCCCTGGACAGCCTACACAGCCTGACCAACACACTATCAGTACCCCTGGCAAAACATTGCCCTGGACAGCCTACACAAGCTTGACCAACACACTATCAGTACCTCTGGCAAAACATTGTCCTGGACAGCCTATACAGCTTGACCAACACACTATCAGTACCTCTGGCAAAACATTGCCCTGGACAGCCTACACAGCTAGACCAACACACTATCAGTACCTCTGGCAAAACATTGCCCTGGACAGCCTACACAACCTGACCAACACACTATCAGTACCCCTGGCAAAACATTGCCCTGGACAGCCTACACAGCTTGACCAACACACTATCAGTACCCCTGGCAAAACATTGTCCTGGACAGCCTACACAGCCTGACCAACACACTATCAGTACCTCAGGCAAAACATTGTCCTGGACAGCCTACACAGCTTGACCAACACACTATCAGTACCTCAGGCAAAACATTGCCCTGGACAGCCTACACAGCTTGACCAACACACTATCAGTACCTCTGGCAAAACATTGCCCTGGACAGCCTACACAGCCTGACCAACACACTATCAGTACCTCTGGCAAAACATTGCCCTGGACAGCCTACACAGCCTGACCAACACACTATCAGTACCTCAGGCAAAACATTGCCCTGGAAAGCCTACACAGCTTGACCAACACACTATCAGTACCTTAGGCAAAACATTGCCCTGGACAGCCTACACAGCTTGACCAACACACTATCAGTACCTCAGGCAAAACATTGCCCTGGACAGCCTACACAGCCTGACCAACACACTATCAGTACCTCAGGCAAAACATTGCCCTGGACAGCCTACACAGCCTGACCAACACACTATCAGTACCTCAGGCAAAACATTGCCCTGGACAGCCTACACAGCCTGACCAACACACTATCAGTACCTCAGGCAAAACATTGCTCTGGACAGCCTACACAGCTTGACCAACACACTATCAGTACCTCAGGCAAAACATTGCCCTGGACAGCCTACACAGCTGCTCTTTGTAACAAATCGGTCTCCTTATTTTTTGTAGGCTTTTTGCCAAAACTCAACGTGCTTGCATTCCCTTCCTTTCAATGTCATGTCGTCATTGGGGCTTTACGACGGACTGAGCTGCTGAGGCTATATGGCGTCGCCTGCCTCTCACCCTGGCAGGAAGGGCGGGGAATGGAACCGCGTGCAGACGACCGGGGAATGGAACCGCGTGCACCGCGGGGAATGGAACCCCGTACCTCTGGTCTCCCAGACGTGCAGTGGCTATCGCGGACACGCTAACCACTACACTACCGGCACCCCTTCCTTTCAATGTTGCGCCCTCTATCCCGTCCCGGAGGATCTCCGAGACGGGATACCTCTCCGGGACGGATACCTGAATCTCCGGAACAGGTATCGAATACCAAGCAGCCTTAAAGACCCACCGAACCAGGTAAGAAGGAACAAAATGCAACTAGCAGAAGCAGCAGTGTAGACCTTGAATCCAGATATCGGCATAACGGATCCCATAACGGCACCGTTAGATATCACCCATACGCGACACTTACTGGAGGACAATTCCAGCGGCGCTGAGTAGGTGCCGCTGGCTGCCATCTCACCGGGCTGAGCGGGCCGAGGCGCGCAGGTAGTTCTCCTGCACGAACAGCGGGCCCAAACTGTAGTCGTGGAAGAACAGCCGAATCTTGTCGTCGATCGTCATGCTCTGCCGCTCGGTGGCGCTGAACACGCTCTGAACCACGTCAAACGCGCCCTGCGGAACACGGCCAGACGCGTCACCAGCCAGCTCCGGACCGCCGCGAACAGCCAGCCTCGCGGGACCGGCACGCTGAGACGGGCGACCCGGCCGCGGCACCGCCCAGCGCGGGCTCGGCTCGCATCTCCCGTCCTCTCCAGGCGCGTCTCCGCCGACCCCGCCCCAGCAAGCGGAGACCGCTGTCCGACAGTCTCATCCCACAGACACAGGGGACCGCACTGTCCACCGCCGGGCGGGCGACGCTGGACAGCGGATGGGCGGCGTCTCCCGTAGCTTACCCGGCGCGTGTCCTTGGTGGCGCGCGCCGCCGCCGGACCGGCCGCCTGCTGCGCGGCCGCCACCGACAACAGGTGCAGCACCTGGCGAATGTCCTGGTTCGTGCCCATGATCAGCGCGTCCAGCGACTCGCGCGTCATCTTCAGCTTCTCCTTGAAGCAGATGGACATCATGGCGCCCTGTCGGCGCCGGGAGAGGGCAGTTAGCCGCGCCTGGCCTCGCGCCGATTGGAGTGGGGATCGCGGGGACAGCCGGGCTACCGCAAAGCCCGGTGACGCTACCACCAGCATGTTGACAATGTCATTGGTGCTTCTGAGCCGAGGCCAAGATGTTCGCGATTATTTCAGAAGAACTTGAGTTCCATTTAAAGCAAAATGCCACAGCAATCCTTTGTTTAGTTTGCTTCACTTGGCCAGTACATCCCTTTCAGCATAATTCCGTGGGAAAACGACTATGCGACCCTGATAAGAAAGCTAGACCGACCTCGAGGCAGGGCCACCCGCGATCCCTGCTCCAGTTCGGCCGGCTGACTGGCCAGTGGCCGGCGCGAGCGCGGCCCGTGCCGGCCACCGGTCCACTCCGAGCCACTCACGCGGATCTGCTCCAGACGGGGCTTGTTGATGCGCAGGTCGAAGCAGTACTGGGCGAGCGAGCGGATCTTGGGATGGTGGCGGTCATTGCACATGCAGATGACCGGCACCCGCGCCTGTCGGATCAGCTGGATGACGGCCGCCACGCCGCCGCGGTCCTCGTTGCCCGCCATCCCATCCACCTCGTCCATCAGCAGCACGTGCCGCTCCGTCACCTGACCGCCGCCTGCGGCACCGGGCCGGGACAGTCACGTGACACTGTGGTCTGACCGCCGCCTGCGGCACCGGGCCGGGACAGTCACGTGACACTGTGACCTGACCGCCGCCTGCGGCACCGGGCCGGGACAGTCACGTGACACTGTGACCTGACCGCCGCCTGCGGCACCGGGCCGGGACAGTCACGTGACACTGTGACCTGACCGCCGCCTGCGGCACCGGGCCGGGACAGTCACGTGACACTGTGACCTGACCGCCGCCTGCCGCACCGGGCCGGGACAGTCACGTGACACTGTGACCTGACCGCCGCCTGCGGCACCGGGCCGGGACAGTCACGTGACACTGTGATCTGACCGCCGCCTGCGGCACCGGGCCAGGACAGTCACGTGACACTGTGACCTGACCGCCGCCTGCGGCACCGGGCCAGGACAGTCACATGACGCTCTGTCCATGGCGGGGCGTCACGTGGCTGTGGTGTCGTGCTGGAGACATAGGTAGACCTGAGAGCCGCAACAGCACCAAAACTCTCCGCCGGGCGACGCATTTTTAAAAAAAATTACGACATGCAAGACGGGGTGGCAAACCGTGCAGCACGCCCTGCCGTCGGCGACCGAGTCCGTCAGCCGCCCACCGTCGGCCTGGAACATGGCGCCGAGCGAGCTCATCTGCAGACAGTCGGTGAACTTGTCCAGCAGCTTCTTGGAGCGCGAGTCGGAGGCGTTCAGCTCCACCACCTCGAAGCCCAGCTCCTTGCACACCAGGTGAGCCGTGGTCGTCTTCCCTGCGGAACGGAGGCCAGGACCGCGTCGGACATCGACAGGGGGTGGCACAGTGCCGCGGCGCGTCCGGTCGACCGACTCCGACGCAGCGTCGTGCGTGCCGCACTGGCAGGGCGTCGATCACGCAACAGTGGTGGGAGCAGCTTCAGCCGACGTACCGACTCATGAAAGCTCACATTACGACACATCCTCCTTTTGGCGAACGACACCGATGATCTGGCAGATAAGTACATTTTGTGAGCAAAGCATTTTCGTGAAATCGTAGTCGTCCTTAGCCTACATTCAAGTGTTGGCAGACCACCCCACTCGGTGTGACAGGTGGCTATACGTGTGTGTCTGCACCTCTATGACTAGCGACACGACGCAGAGAGCCAAACTTTATGTGGAGCACGGAGACGAGAATCAACAACTGAGTGTCTGGATTGGACGTCAATACCAAATCGGTGGAAACAAGAGACAAACGAGATGACCCAGTGTTGGAAACGTACCCTTGCTGGATTTTATCCACTCAAGAAGATTTGCCCTTCATTTGGTTGCCCTAAATTTGCATGCTTCTGTTCGCATGGCTTGCTAAATATGGCACGCATTGTACAACTGATGGCGGCTGCTGTTGTACATGGGAGTGGCAGCCCAGGTCCGATTCAGCATGATGGCACGCTCCACACGAAGTAAAACACACGCCATTTGGCAACTATTTTGCCGATATCCTGATCAAAACGTTTCATTTGGCCCTCTCCGCCCATGCCACATATCTCCACTGCCACTCATCACTCAGCCAGAGCATCCGTCAGGGCTTGTCGGTCTGCTGTAGCCGGCGTACGGACGTACTCGACCGGGCACCGCATCGACTCACCGACACCCGGCGGTCCCGACAGGAGTGCCGCCTTGTAGTTGGACCCGTCGTCGTTGTAGCCCTGGTTATCTGTGACGGGGGCGGCAGGACGTCAGGGGCATGGCGCCGAGCCGATGTGCTCATTGAACGCCCTGGTTTCTCCTGAGTATACACTGCTGACGCGGTCAATGACGCATAGTTCTACGCCACAGTTCGTAACTACAAAAATCAAAGCAAAAACACGGCAAGTGATGTCAGCAAAACAGGCGTGCGGACGGCAGCAGCTGACAGACGCCTGAGCCCACGTATGTGCGCGAAATAACAGGTGTTTGGTTACCAATTCACGTGGGCAGAACACATCAGCGATATTTCACATGGCATGATATATCGCAATGACGTCGGACTCGATTATGTCCAGACAATGGCTGCGCAAACGGTGGTGTCGAAGGTGTCAATAAACACGCGCATCTGGCGCGGCAGTCGTACTCACAGGTCTTGACCTTGACCTTGTTGGGGCCGGTGTGAAACCTGTGCCACCGCTGCAGCCACTGTTTCAGCTTGTTCATGGCCGACTTGTCGCCCTGCTGACCGACGATAGCCTTGGTGGCGGTGGGCCGGTACTTGTCCACCCACATCTGGGTCTCGCCGCCGGCGGCCGGCGCGCCGCCCGCCTGCGTTCCCGTCGCCGCCGGCTCCCTCTTCACGGTCTGGCGCGGCGGCACCTCCTCCGAAGCTTCTCTCTTGGCGCCGCCGGCGCGCGGCTCCGGCTTCGGCTTCGGCATCAGCTCCGGCTCTAGCTCCAGCTTCGGCTCGGCGGTCGGGGGCGGCCCGGCGGCGGTGGAGCGGGACTTGATCAGGTCGAACAGGCCCTCCTCGTCCAGAACTTTGGTGCCGATCTTCGCTGCCTGCAAGCAGCCGGGAACACGCACACATTATAAGAGAGGGGTGACGTGACAAGATGGTTATTTCAGTTCAAAACCCCATGGAAATGTGGAACACACCCTTCAAGTTCACATCCGTAACGAGCCCTAACCACAGAGCACTAGCGACATCACACCTATTGGCGCACACTCCGCGTCGTACATTCTGAGTGTGCCTGCTCGCCTGTATGGGCGCGCCGCCTCACCTTCTCCGTCTTGCTCTGGCCCGGGTCGTCACCGACCACTAGGTAGGAAGTGTTGCGGCTGACGCTGCCCGTGACGCGGGCGCCCAGTCGCTTACAGAGGTCGGCCGCTTCCTCGCGACCCAGGCTGTCCAGCAGGCCGGTCAGCACCAGCGTCAGGCCCGACAGGCAGCCGGGGGAGCCCTGCCGCGACGACCGACACGGCCGGTCAGGGTCAAGGCCATTCAGGCCTCAGGGACCCAACAGTGGGGGCCCTGCCGTGCCGGCGGACACGGTCGGTCAGGGCCTCGGCCGTCAGGGCCACGGTGGCCCAACAGTGGGACCCCGTCAGCTGGACTTCCATGGGAACTCCCCATGCCCCCCACCCCCCCCCCTGCAGGACTGAGAGGGGGGGGGGACAACATGGCACGTCGTCTGGGGGAGGGTAACAGAACAAGTTGTCTGGAGTGGAGGGGGGGGGGGGGGAGGGAGGGGATGCTGGGTAGAGGAGGTGCCAGAAGACCAGACGGTGCGAGGGACGGCAGCTTCACTGGGAGGGGGGACGGGGGGGGGGGAAGGGGCAGAAGCACGAGGCCTGACAGACGACAGCTGGCAAAGAGATACCAGACTGGACTGTCTTATGATGGCAGCTGGGCAAAGTCAATAACAAACAGAAAGACGATGTGAAAAGCGGCAGACGAACAGACGGCGTGGGAGGAGGGGGGGTGGGGGGGGGGGGCGGGTGGACGATTTGAGAATCAGGCGGGTGAAATGAGGGGAGGGGCGCAGGACAGGTGGACAGGCGGTCTGGGGAATGGCGCCTGGACCACGGTACGCCAAAAAGACGCGCAGTTTCGGGCGTTGGGGAACATGGAGAGGGGCGGGGACGCCATAAGAATACACAGTCTCGTGGACAGAAGGTAGCAGCGAAGTGTGAAAACGGGAGGTCTATGGGCCAAGCGACTGAATAATGTCACTTACATTGCAATGACAATAGCGATGCCCGTCGAGGCAGTGTGTCACGCGATGTGGCATGTAAACGAGGGCACCGACCTACCCGCGGCTTACCTCCGGTACCTCCCTGGCGCCGGGGTTTTTCGGGCCGGCTTGACGCCTCTCCAGGAACCTCCTGTAGTTCTCCGCTTTCTTCTGCCGCTGTTCATCGGGCGTCGTGGCCGGCGGCGCCGCTGAAGGCTTCGGCCGCTTGGCCGGCGGCGTGGCGGCCTCAGAGGCCGCGGCCTTTCTCTTGGACGGCGTGACTTTCTTCGACGGGGTGGCCTCGGCGGGAGGTGTGCTCCCCTCGGGTGCCGTGGTCTTCTTTGACGGGGTGACCTCAGCAGGAGCCGTGCTCCCCTCGGTTGCCGCGGTCTTTTTGGGGCGCGTCTTTTTGTCGGACGCGGCTTCCTTTTTGGACGCCGCGTTCGCCTCCACCGGCGCATCCCGGCCGGCGGCCGGCTCCCTGATGCGCGTCGGCCCGTCCTCGTCATCGCTCTCTGACAGCCGGCTGCCGCCGCCGTCCGGCCGGCGCAGCTTCGACAGCCGGCTGGCCAGCGTCGTTCGACTGGCAGTCGGCTCCTCATCCAGCTGCGCCAGCGTCGCCGCCATGCTCGGGTCGTCGTGCGCCTCCGGCAGCGGCTGGAAGGAGACGGCGCCGGTGGCGCGTCAGGTAAGCGGAATGGCCGAGGCTGTGTGGTCGAGCGGCGGTGCCACTCAGCGATCAACCTAATGAGTCCACATGGCCATCAGCAGCCATAAGAACAGATAGTTGCCGCTGTTCATGGTACGTGTTCTGAACGGTTACTGATAAAAAACTATACTTGAAATGGCTCGAGGACAAAATCGACTGGCAGATCGCCACCCTGAGGACGGCCATAAATCTTGAACGAAGCATGGCGCATTTTCTTTAATCACAACCTTGCCACACTCGAACGCCCGATTAAAGGTGAACAAGGAAGCAGCGTCACACATCTCCCGGAGGGAAAACAATGAAAAAAATAAAGGATTAAGTTTTCAAACATCAATGCAAGCAAATGCGATGGATAGATGAGGTTTATATATAAACACACACGCACACGCACACGCACACAGACAGACAGACAGACAGACAGACAGACAGACAGACAGACAGACAGACAGACAGACAGACAGACAGACAGACAGACAGACAGACAGACAGACAGACAGGACAGACAGACAGACAGACAGAACGACAGACACACACACACCCACACGCAACAATATATTATATATATATATATATATATAATATATATATATAAATTATATATATACATATATTCTATACATATATACTTATAGATATATATGATATATAATATATATATATCAATAATATATCTATAATCATATATATATATATATATATATAATATTGGTCATTATTGCAAATGGTTATCCATATGATGGCAGCATTAAGCACGGACCTGCAATATCTCTCTAGGAGTCATTGCTTTCCCGACCTTTTTGGACAGCTTCGAATATGTCTGCGTCCTTGACGGCTTCGCTGATCCAAAAAAGCTGTCGGCCGTTACGGATTCCGGCTTGGCTCCATTCGTTCTTTTCTTGGCCTCATTACCACGGTCTTTCCCTTTGGAAGCCAGCTTCTTTTTGCCCTCTTCTTCGTCATCTGTAACATCAGACACACAACAATTTAAAAGAAAAAGAATAAATACATGAACTGCTTGGCCCGTTTCACCAGCTCCTTTCTTGCACCAGTCGAGGAAGAGGGAATCCAAATCACCTTTGCCCAGCGCGGGACCAGCCAGCGATTTACTCCAACACAGAGCTGTGGACAAGGGTGTCCACAGCTGTCATCATTAAACACAACGCCCCTTTGAACATCCTGATAACAAACCGTGTCAAAACACAATGACTCTATGAGTGTAAAAGAGACAGCCTTGCCCCGCAACAGCGGGTGACCAGACCGTCGGCACGTTCCTACACTCCACCGCCGGCGAACTAACCCGAGTCCACGATTCTGGCGGGTCGCCTGCGCTTCTTGGCGGGGGCGTCGTCGTCGGAATCCAAGTCCGAGATCACGGTCGCAGCGACGGCGGGCTTCCGCGACGCCTGGCCCGATGCCGTCTTCTTGCCGAACATGGCTCGGATGTCCGTCTGTTTCTTGCCATTTCCACCCCCGAAGAATTTCCGGATGTCCTGCGACTGAAGACAAGCGCTTAGCAGTAGCAAAAGGTACCCGCGCAAATGCGGAGCTCGCTACCACGCAGTGGTGGCCACGCTGACGAGTCCAACAAAATCTCCCGGGAACTTCAGCAACTCCGTTTGGGTTAAATAAAATCTAGTTTATGGAACTGCGGAATTGGGGGGTTGCGCACGCCGACCGCTTCACTTGGGTAGCTGCACAACCCCGATAAGTTTGCTATAACAGTGTATAATTAACGCTGAAATCTTTGGTGGGAAAAATTATCGTGTCCAACAAACATATCATGTACGATAGTCTGGCACGTCGCAGGGTCGTAAAAAGGTGTAAGTTTTGGGCAGATCAAAGATGAAATAGTGCATTACTGATATGAAGCATCATGTTTTATATATATATATATATATATATATATATATATATATATATATATATATATACATATCTATATACCGCAAAACAGCACGGAACCAGGTTGGTAACTAACAAAATTTGCGATGGGAAAGGCTAGTGATGCAAATGAACAGGGGTTCGTAACGAAATGGTTTTTTATTGGACCATGCTATGAAATCAAAAGGGTTCAACGAACAACGTTCGTGGGCCAATACGGGGTTCGTACCAGCGCGATGTACCAACTACCACCCCCTTCCGTCCACATTTAAATTGAGGCTTCGAATATGAATTGCAGTGACGGAGCAAATAGTTGGTAAATGTGCGAATCTTGAAGTTGCCCAAAACTGCTTATTACGTATGCTAGTTTCAACTGAAAAATGCTCGTAAGCACATAGAGTTCGCAATCAAAGATCGGAGGAAACTACTCAATGAGCGCAAGCTCCGGTAGCTATTCGTTTACGTTATCACCGCGCAAGTAACCATTCAAAAACCCTTTGCATTGGAATCCAATCAATTTGGAGCCTTTCAAAAACAGACCTTGTCTATAACAGGTCTCCCCCACGAACTGAACTTTGTTCCGTTTGCACCGCCAGCCTCTTGCGTTCCACAACGCGCACTGTGAACCAGTCAGGCGGGCGGGGCCAGCGACCGTCACCGGCCAGCTACCGGGGCCGTCACCGCCGCCACCTGTGACGCCCGAGCGTCACGGCCCCCCCCCCCCCCCTGTGACGCCCGAGCGTCACCACCGCCACTTGTAACGCCAGACCGTCACCGCCGCCACCTGTGACGCCCGAGCGTCACCGCCCCCACCTGTGACGCCCGAGCGTCACCACCGCCACTTGTAACGCCAGACCGCCACCGCCGCTACCTGTAACGCCAGACCGTCACCACCGCTACTTGTAACGCCAGACCGTCACCACCGCCACTTGTAACGCCAGACCGTCACCGCCGCTACCTGTAACGCCAGACCGTCACCGCCGCTACCTGTGACGTCAGACCGTCACCGCAGCTACCTGTAATGCCAGACCGTCACCGCAGCTACCTGTGACGTCAGACCGTCACCGCCGCTACCTGTGACGTCAGACCGTCACTGCCGCTACCTGTGACGTCAGACCGTCACCGCCGCAACCTGTGACGTCAGACCGTCACCGCAGCTACCTGTGACGTCAGACCGTCACCGCCGCTACCTGTGACGTCAGACCGTCACCGCCGCTACCTGTGACGTCAGACCGTCACCGCAGCTACCTGTGACGTCAGACCGTCACCGCCGCTACCTGCAACGCCAGACCGTCACCGCAGCTACCTGTGACGTCAGACCGTCACCGCAGCTACCTGTAATGCCAGACCGTCACCACCGCCACTTGTAACGCCAGACCGTCACCGCCGCTACCTGTAATGCCAGACCGTCACCGCCGCTACCTGTAACCGTCAGACCGTCACCGCCGCTACCTGTAACGCCAGACCGTCACCGACGTTACCTGTGATGGCCCGTGCTATCACCATAAACTGTGGCTGGCCCACATTCTGTGGCATTGCTATGCAATGCCACAATCCCCAAGTGGGACACTGGCCCTTCCCTAAGATCAGTTTTAAGGGCAAGCTCACCCCACAGCCACATCAATGTTTCACTTTTCACTACCAAAAGCTTTAATGGCCAGTAAGCCACTGCCAATAGTGCCAACTAGGGCAACTATTCTCGCATGATCAACCATGACGGCTGTCATGTCAGCTATACTCCCAGGAGTGGCTATAGCTATCCAAGGCTGCACAATGCTTACACTGTTCTCATGCCAGATACCCCCAGCTTTGAAATGCCCGTGAGACAAGTGTGTTATAATTTCTGAACAATAGTGATCCAGCTAGGGGCTGTTACATGCGCTATAAACCCACCCCCAAATTTTCACTGCTGTAGCTCATCAGACAACTCTGGCACTGACATTTTTGCTAGACAGGACTGCAGAGGGTCACAACTCATGCAAAACTTACCATTTGGCGACAACAGGCAAATTCAGCCTGAACTGCTAATGCCAGCTGGCCTTTCCATGTCATGAATACAGCCAAACATGATAAAGTGGCCTAATCCTAAGTGAATGCCCTTATCCAGGCACCTTTTGCAATTCAGGTACCTCATGCAGTGAACAGTACTTAACACATTGACTGTAAATAGGCCTTAACAATGCCCTACAAAAGTTATGTTCCCTTTAATCTAACCTGGTTCAATCTCTCCAATCATGTATTTCCATCATAGATATAAATGATATCTGATACATTTGGTTACTTTTCAACTCTATTTCCAGCTGACTACAGTGTAATAAGCATATCATCCTGAAAAGTGGTCTTTTTGGTCTTTTATTAAAAATAATTCCAAATAGATTCATTTGCTGCTTGTTATGAGAAGAAACCAATTCTAACCAGCTCAGAAGTCTTAAAATATCATGAAAAAGGACAAAACATAATCTACAGCCTAACCTGAGCATAATGCTTCACCATCCCCCCCCCATGCTTGACACTTTGGGCACCCATAATAAAAAACCCTCTCTCCAACCTCATGCACAATATATCGACTTTGCCCCTAACCATACCTTTCTGTTAAAGGAATAGCCTCTAAATCCTTGACCTTTTAACAAAAACTAACATCACTGTAGCCCTTCTATCCTGCAGTGGGCTGATTTTAACCCAATCACTTGCATGTGATGGTATTGGCCACATCCAGAAAGCTCCATAATGATGTAAGCCTGCTACTTACTTAACTACCATCTGTGATGAATGACAACAAATAAAACAAACCGTTTCAGAGCAAAAAGGTGGAAATCTTTCCTACCTTCAGATCACATGCATCTTGTGCCAGACAAATCTCAGGATTGTAATAGAAATAACACTACCACTTCAACATAACCACCTTCAAAACAACACCCCATTGCATGGCCATCCATTCATGATTACACGTAGCAAGACGGATAAGGAATAACCGCGGCTAATACAGGCGGCGAAAGCCAAAGCCACATGCATTTGAAAGCAACTTATAAATGCCTTATCCGTTTTCACCTAAAATCGTGCATGAACATGTTAAGCCATCCACCTCGATGTACAGAAAAACAAATACGTTCCCTCACCATAATTTTTCAGGATCTATCCGCAATATCAGGAAAAACAGACGAAGCCAACATAAAACTGCGCGTCCCCGATTTCGCACGGCTGTTCGCTCTCCATGGCAAGTAAAACAATCTCGAATGCTGCGCCATACGTCTCGCGCGCTTTTAGCGCGCAATGACGACGGATTAAACGATTGTCAAAACATATTGACAACCCCATGCTCCGAGCTCATAAGGCTGATGGACACAAAACCTCCACCATTCGAAGCCCCCTGGTCAATAACGTATTTTCTTCGACAAGATGACCTTGGGACAGTTCCCGAGTCACCAAAATGACAAAAAAATTGGAAACTCAGAGTGCTAACAAACCCGATGCTCTCGGCCTGTGGGTCAGGTCGCCACAAGATCTTCTCCAGTTGATGTGCCATCAACGTTATCTTATCCCTTAACACAACATTTTGACCTCGGTTCAGGTCAAACGTCAACAAAACGCCCAAACCCCCAAAATTGGCTGGTGACAACCCCATAATCCGCGCCCATGGAATGGAGCGTTACGAAATCTTCAGCAATCGATGTTCCATAGTCAATGTCCGATCTTTTCCGGTACATGGTGGCCTTCCGTCAGGTCAAAGGTCACCAAAACGCCCACAACCACTCAAATTGGCCCCACGCCCGGAGCCTATGCGACCGATTGGCATAAAACCTGCGCCAGTCGATGTGCAATACTCGACAACCTATTCTGTTTAGAATATGATGACCTTCAGTCAGGTCAAACATCCCAAAAATGCCCAAAACCACCAAAAATTAGTAAACAGACTAGCCTGTGTGGGGCCGATCGGCACAACACCTCTACCAATCGGTACACCAGGGGCGATTACCTGTATCTCTCAGAACATAGTGATCATGGTCTGCCCAAGTCTTAAAAAACGCCCGAAACCACCAGAAGCCCTATGCGCCGGGCCCATGAGACTGATCGGCGCGGAACCTTTTCTATTTGATGTGCCATAACCGATAGCATAATCCCCTCTCCAGAACATATAGTGACCTCTGTTAAGTTAACAGGTCCCCAAAAAACGAGCGCACACTTTGCAGACCAAGCCCCATGCTCCGGGCCTATGGGACTCGACACAAAACCTTCACTTATCCATGTGCCATGGTCATTGGCCTATCCTTTCCAGAGCAAGGCGAACTTGGCTAAGGTGAAATGTCATAAAAAAACGCCCCAAGCCGCCCACAAACAGTTTTCAGGCAACCCAATGCTCCGAACCATACTGTCTGCGGACTGGTTTTCCCGGCATCTGGAATTTTTTGGGACCTGTGGCCTGACCAAAGGTCACCATGTCTTGAAAATGATAGGTTATTGGACCATGGCGCATCGATTGTTAAAAGTTTGTGCCAATCGGTCCCATAAGGTCGAAGCGTGAGGCTGTCTGCAGCCAATTCGGGTTGTTGTGAGCGTTTTTGGTGACGTTCGACCAAGCTCAAGGCCATCATGTTGTTAACAAGTCACATGATATAAGTTCTTTCCCAAAACCAAATACATCAGCATATATTGTTAGGCACAGGGTTTTGATCGCGCGTTTTTCGTGCAACGCTGCATTGTCACCACATTCCACCTGTAGCATAGTTCAATTAACATGGAACACGTATATTCATTTTTGCGAAAAAGCCCAAGAGCACCGATCGAAACCGGGCCCAGATATTGACAGCCCGGTGCCACGATACGATATTCTACCTGAATTGACCACGTATTGTGTGGGGCGAGATGCGCAGATACATACGTTCTCGCGCGTGAACAATACATTCGCCCCTGTGGGGCCGGTTTCAGGAATTGATGCCAGCAACCAAAACAGACGGAGATGTGAACCAGTGACACGGTGTAAGTGGATTATCAATTTGGAAAGATACGACGGTCGACTAAAATACTTACTAGCGTATGCAGTAAGTGCGATGATGTGCATATGACAGTAAAATGGCGAATTCATCGTATCATATTACTGTGGATAGTCGGATCATATCCACACGGTCTTATTCATTGTAACTTTGCAAATCTTCGCGGCAGCAGGGCCGCCAGAAATGAGGATGGGCTGTCAGGGGGTCAACCCAATGAGACGCATGCCGTGGGTCAAAAAGCTTGTTCCAGCGCCAGCTGATAGCCTCACAACAGCACTATCAAATAGACACTAGGGTGTGTCATCAGCAACACAACCAAGCGGGACAAATAAATGTCTTGACGCTGGAGCCCAAAAGTACGCGGCAAAGCAAGATTTCTTTCCAAAAACTGAAATTCATGAGGCGCGAGGCAATTTAAATGTCACCGTAAGCCGACGCCTGGCGTTGCAGTCACCGTATGCGGGGCAGCGGTGGCTGCCACGGGTAACACCGAGCTACGGTCGGTAAGCGATACAAAATAACCTCGGGTAAGGAGACGATGCTACCGCGCGCTCCTTAAAGGAATGTGTGCGAAAACGTGCCATCCTAAGGTCCAGTATGCAGTTCAGACACCCCCCGATAGGCTGTCGCATGACAGACGCTTAGTGTGTTGTTGGGTATGAACTCATTGTATGACTACGTCTGTAATGTCTGTACTGCCACGACCATGTTTATTCATGCTGCTTTCTTGCTTTCACTTCCCTAAGACAAGTCGCGTGTTGTCGTAGATAGCAAATGGCTCAGAGTATATTACTTGGCGCACAACTAAACACAAATAGCGAGGTCTGCAGTCCGCACCACGCCCCTAGAGGGGTTAAGGTGACCCCGAGCACATCTTGCTCCTGGCCCATCCTGCGTATTAGACGCACTCTCCCAAACAGCAGCTGCTCAGAGACCGGAAAACCAAAACTCATGTTGGCGGAGGTCGCACGGTAGCAGAGGCACCGTCGCAGCTGGGCTCTTAATATTGCCGAAGCCTCAGCCCCAGCTCCAGACGTTCTCGGCAGTGCGACGCTGGTCTCACTGCGCTGTGCGGCGCGCGCCCGGGCGCGTCTGAACTAGCTGCTGTCAGGCTCGTTGATACGCGGCGCTGTCGTCCCCATTCTGTGAGGTGCACGCCTCCAATTTTCCTGCCACCGTGTGCTGAGCCAGAATGCAGAGACGCAGTACCTGCTGCCTGTGGAAGCGCCGAAAGCTGGTCCAGCGGCGCATTCTCCGGTCTCTCCTCTCTCGAAGGACCGTCCAGCACACGGACAGCGGGCGGACGGAGTGATGCGGCGGCGGTGGTTGCCGTACCGTGGCCTGCTGCTACGGCCACCTGCGGCGGACACACTTAAAACAGCTGTAATGGAAACAGAAGAACCGTGAAATGTTGAAAAGAAAAGAAAACAATAGATATGCCGAATACATTCGCAATTTTCATGTTTACAAATTTTGACATCAACATAAAGATAGATTGGAACGACTGTAGGCGTCTGTCATGAAGCTCCGTATTCGTATTCACATTCGGATTTACGTCGAACCTGGACTTCTACGACTTCGCTTTAAGTTCGCACACAGATAGTGCTTAGTGAGCACAATTAGTCAATAAGTCAGACGGATCGGTCAGACACAATCTGACAACTAGTCATTTTCATCACCTTGAAAACTCTGAACTCAAGAACCTGCCAAAGTTCAAGGTCATTGACGTGGACCAGTACGATTTCGCTCAAATTTCGCACAAACATAGTGCCTAACGAGTTGGTAACAACGCATCGGTCATCTCCCATCACAGTGAAAACTTTGACCTCCAGAGGCAGATAGTGTTTCAGGCCATTGACCCCCACAACTTCTTTCAAATTTCGAATGTAGATAGTGCCCACTGAGCGGATAACGATAGCATCACTCAGTTTTCGGCACATTGAAAACTTCGCCATCCAGAGGCAGCCAAACCTCGCTTCGTGTTCGTATTCGCATTCAGATTTACATTTGAACCTGAGCCCCAACAATTTTGTTCAAAGCTCACTCACAGATAGTGTCTACTGGGTTGATAACGACAGTATCCCCTATTTTGCATCGGATTACAAACTTTGACCTCTAGAGGCAACCAAAGATCATCATCATTGATCCGAACCCTTACGGTTTCACCCAAATTTCACGCACATATAGTATTTAGTAAGCTGATAACAACGCACCAATCACTTCCCATCAAATTAAAAGCTTTGACCTTCAAAGACAGCCAAAGTTCTAGGTCATTGACCTGGGCCCCTGCGATTTCGTTCAAATTTCGCGCACAGATAGTGTCTTCTGAGCTGAATCAGCTCAGAAGACAGCGTTATCAGATGACGCTGGCACCACTCAATTTTCATCACATTGAAAAAATTTGATCGGAGTGGGTCCGAGGTCAGTGCATGAAATGTCATCGGTGTCAACAGTTTTAACCCAAAGTGGTCATAGCATTTGGCGAATACGCTTCTGAAGCGGCGATATAAAGCTAGCGAGCACCCTTTTCGCTCTTCAAGTCTTCTGTTTCAATATTATGCAAAAGCTTTTGCTGCAGCGTGATCAGCGCATCGAGTTGTCCCCATATGTTTTTTAGCCAAATGGTAGGGGGACCGAGGTCAATGACCTGGAACTGCGGTGAACTTTGCTGGTGGAAGTCTTCAGCGTGACAGGATGCACTTTATACCATTGTGATCAGCTCACTGAGTACTATCTGTGTGCAAGTTTTTAGAGCGACAGCAGGGATCAGGTAATTGACAAACTCGAACATCACAAAATTGGATGTGAGTACGGCAGACACGCTTGGCTCTAGAAAACTTATTTTTTTAATTTGACGCTAAAGCCTCTACTGCAGCATGACCAGCGCATCGAGTACACCTTGCACGTATGTTTTTAGCCAAAGCATGTGTCTGGGTAATGAACAAATCCGAATATGAGGATTGAATGTGAATACACAAAACACATTTTTGCCTCTAGACGGCTCATTCTTCAATGTGACATAAAGAGGTTTGTTGCAGGATGATTGGCGCATTGAGCACTCTGTGCCTGTCGGTTTTTACCTAAATTGTAGTGATCCGGGTTTTGCGAAATTGTAGGGTCCGGGTCAATAACCTTGAGCTTTATCCGTCTCTGGAGGTCAAAAGTTTCAATGTGATGGGGAATGAGTAATCATTGGTATCTGCCCAGAAGACACTATCTGTGTGCAAACTTTAAGCAAAAT